TTGCCATAAAGTCAACTGTGTATAGATGAAAAAATAATCTTATGAATTGGCAATTTGATTTACTAATAATCTTAAAACGATATTTTGTATTTTATACTGAAAAGTTGTCGCATAACGGTGCTCCACACTAGGGAAAACAATATACAAAAAAACACATTCAGTGTTGGCACTCAATTATGCTAGGTGCAGGTATTCGAGGTTTAACCCCACAACAACCTCCTAAAATTGATCCAAAAAACAAATATGAATACCGCACTCAAAAAAATTGTTGTAGTGAAGTCTAAACTTTAAAAAACAAATAGAAGACAAATTAAAAGAATATCAGAGAGAAACGGAAGAGTTTAAAAAGAAAAAATTCCATAGAGATGAATTAGATTATCAAAGGGATCAAGTTTATACCTGGTACTCTAGAGCGGACAATCGTTCTTATAGATCCAACAGAGACACAACCACACAGAGATGGCGTTCGGATACAGAGGGGGCTACATCCTCCTCCTCTGCCTCCTCGTCTTCAGGGATGACTTTTTTAGAGAGAGGTGTACGACACGAAGAAACATCAGGCGGGGGGGTTATAACAAGAGGCTCTCGGGAGAAATGACAAGGCCGACCGCCCCAATCGAGACGCAATCTCTAATACACAACATTTCAGGTAGGCCCTTAACACCTACGGAGGAGGGGACCCTGAATAAGGGACTCTCCTTCATTCCCACACCCCATATAGAGTGGCACCAATATGACGTCAGTTTGTATAAATTCTTTCGCCAACTTAAATTACGTGCATTCTTTTTAAGAGATCAACAAAATTATGGTACAACAGCACAATCTACTGATAATACCATACAGACCATACAGGGATATCCACAGGATGAAGGAAATATGGAGGATGTGGGACATTACGTTACCGGGTCTGATCCATGCACGGTTCTCTCCCTGGATACAGGTTTGAAACCTAAAAGCACTTTTACACCACACAATATTAATACATCTATTGATCTATTCACCAACCTTGTGAAAAAAGATATGTATAAACTTAGGAGAAAACGTCAATATACTCATAGTTATCATGGAAAAAGTATTAATTTTACCAAGCAAGATTGATTGAATATCAATAATTTAAAAAAAGATACATCCATCATTATCAAACCGGCAGATAAAGGGGGAGCACTGGTGATCATGGATCGTACATATTACATAAAAGAAATCGAGACCCAGTTATTGGATAATACAAACTACCTACCTATCAGCCAAGACCCTACACATAATCTGAAACGTATACTAGATAAACTTAATCAATGGGCCCTTTCTAAAAACATTATCTCTGATGGAGAATATAAGTATATGAATCTCAACTACCCAAGAATTCCAGTGTTCTATACCCTCCCTAAAATACATAAGAACCCCCTTTTTCCACCAGGCAGACCAATAGTCAGTGGAACTGGGTCTATATTCCAACATCCAGCAGAAATACTGGATACATTTTTGATCAAATATGTCCCAATGCAGAAATCATACCTCAAAGACACCACTACATTCCTCACATTACGAGCAGACATACATATCCCACCAGGAGAATTTTGGTTGGTAACCATGGATGTACAGTCACTATACACTTCAATTGACCATAATAGAGGGATTGAGGCAGTAGATTGGACGTTGGATAGAGACCCGAGACTAACTCAACAAGGAGAGACCCGAAAATATATTAGGGAATTACTCACTTTCATTTTGACTGAGAATTATTTTTTGTTTGGTGATAAGTATTACAAACAGATTAAGGGTACTGCTATGGGTTCGAATGTCGCTCCAACATATGCTAACATTTATATGAATCGTATGGAGGAAACATGCATCTACCCACATCCTTTATTTTCCAAATGCATAGTTTGGAAAAGATACATAGATGACGTGTTCATATGTTGGAGCGGCACTAGGGCCCATTTACAAGAATTTTTTGAGTCACTTAACACACAAGATGAAAACATTAAATTCACTATGTGTTGTGATACTACTACAGTCCCTTTTCTCAATGTTCAGGTACAGAGAGTACAAGATTGCCTTCATAGCGACTTGTATATAAAACCTACTGACCGCAATAATTTATTGACTTATTCAAGCTTTCATCCAATCCATCTAAAGAATGGATTACCATTTAGTCAATTGTTAAGGGTAAAAAGGATTGTATCACAGGAAGATAAAGTGATGACGGGTTTAGATTTTATGGCCAATAAATTCATTGAGAGGGGTTATCCCACACATGTAGTTGACAATCAACGACAGAAGGTTGATAATCTGTCTCGACAAGAAACCCTTTCAGGTGCAGGGGCCAGAGACAAAACAGAAAGGATTACGTTGGTAACACCATATACCCCACTCAATAAGGAGATAAGACATGTTATATTAAAACATTGGCAACTTTTTCAGGGAGATACTCAATTACCCCCGATATTCCAACAATCTCCACTTTTTGCATACCAGAGGGCCTCGAACCTGAGGGACATGATAGTAAGATCAGATATTGGCAGTTCAAAGAAACAAATTAGATTTTTTTCAGAACCTAAGAAGGGCACTTTTCCATGTATAAATTGCTCACACTGTAACAGTGTGATCAAGGGGGAATATTTTGTTCATCCCAGATCAGGTAAGAAATTTTATGTTAAAGAATTTTTTACATGCAACTCTGACTATGTTGTGTATGCCCTGAAGTGTCCCTGTGGACTCCTATACGTGGGGGAGACCATCAGGCCAGTAAAAGAGAGGATAGGGGAGCATAAAAGGAGCATTAGGGCAGCATTACAACACAATAAAGTGAAGGCTCCGGTACCCAGACATTTTAAAACATATGGTCATAACGTAAACCAACTAAGGTTTCAAGTCCTGGACAGAATCCCACCTCTACGTAGAGGAGGGGATAGACAGAAGCTCTTACTACAGAGAGAAACTAAATGGATAAGTACCTTGGAGACTTTGTCACCACTAGGACTTAATGAAGACTATGACCTTAAACATTTCTTATGAGAAGTTTTTTCTTCCTCTTGTATTTATAGCCTGCTCTATGACTTTCTGCTCCTTACAGAAGCTCCCCTTGACCAATTTTGGTCCGGTGTCCTTTCCTGCCAACAGTTTGACCTTTTCGGGTCCGCTACCTGCCATCAGCACAGGGTTCCCCACATATGGGACCCGGGGGCACGATGGGGCATTACGAGACAGGTGAGTTGCATACTCTGTCTTTAGTTTATTTTGGATCTTTTATTTATATTTTCATTTCATTTTCCAATAAATTTTTTAAATTTAGCTACACCAAAAATTTTTTTAATGAGGATTTTCTTTTCATTCAATATATTTTTTCTATATTATTTTTTCTATATTATTTTTCCATTTTTATTCTTTAT